AAAGGCGAGTCTTATACAGTAAACCCACTACTCCTGTCATAGCGGTGGCGCTTCCTCCGACAGCTGACGGGAGAGAGGGGAAAACACGAGTACCCAAGTGGCGTCTTCCTTCCAGCGTGATGGGTCGACTGCTCCCTCTGGTTGGCGTAGGCGGCGGCTACTGCGCCCTTCGCTGCACGCCGGCTCTGACGTCACTCATCGCCCACGCACCCCCTCCCCACTCCGGATGATGTGGGAGGAACGCGGTTGGTCGGGACGGCGTCGAATAAAAAGCGTTTGTTCAATGCATTTGCGGTAGAGGAGTTCGGGTGAATCGAACTAATGACGTAATGTTTAAGCATATGTTATCATTAGATTGCGACCGGAGGTGTTACGAGAGTTGAGATAAGGAAGATTGTACAAAGTATATTCGGTTCATTTATATGATGGGTTGTTAGGTATTGAATTATCAATTAAGTTCGGTATTAGATTAGCAATTAAGTTGTCTAACTTTGACTATAAGTATTCCTCCAAGAAATGGGAATTGTTTACGGTTACGAATTCTAGACGCGTAACTGATTCGGAAATTAAATATATTACTCCTTGCGACTTATTTATATGTACTTGATTCCAAATGCTTCTTTATTAACCTTGAAAGTGTCAACATGTAGTATTGATAGGACTATGAGAAAAAACTTAAGGTGTGTTAATTAAAAATTAAGAAGTCCCCTGTTTAGTGCTGAGGGTTTTATGGCAGCTTGTTAGGTGAACTCTGTTAGAAGCACTTCTGCTTCTAACATATCTTAAGAAACGATTTCTTGCGGGTATGGTATAGTAGCTTTGCAAGCATCTCAAGACAGTACGTACTTGATATACTTTCTGCTTCACGCCATAATGAATCCGCGAAAAATAATTTTCAAAATCTCTTTAAACAGATTGTAGAACCTCTCGTATTTGCAGTTGCAGCCATAAATGTGTATAAAATAATCCCGAGTTGAAAGTGTGCAGTAGCCCATAAAAGATCAGCTGAAAGAATAGATATATCAAGCCAGTATAAAACGGTAGACATTTAAATGTTGAGGGGAAATAGACTTCAATGATTAATAATTCGATGATAATCTCGGAGTTCTAATAAAAAAAAAGTTACCTATAACCCCATACTGTATTTTTATACTTCAAATTTTTTTTTAAGTGGCTGATGACATTGTTATTGTTACACATCCTGCCTTATAAAATGATTTTTTAACAGTGGTAAGGACATTTCTTAGGCCACAATCGTCGGTAAGGACGACGTTTATATTTTTGATTTATTTGGTCAAAAACAGTAAAAACTGTGTGACGTATGGGGGAGAAGATCATCCACCACGCACTTTCGAGTTCCAGAATTCCTTCCTATCATGTTAACTATAAATAGTTGAAAAATAAGTAAACGTTAAAGATAAATAAATAAGAATACATTTTAAAAAGCGCGAGATTATAAATATTTGAAAAAATCGTCATTTTCGTTCCCGAGTTACAGAAAACTTATTTGCTTCGGTAAACGAATTAAAAGTGTGATTTTTCTCAATTGCTAACAAAATAGTAACTCGCCCTTCCCTCTACTCCCACCATTACAAGCAAAAGGAGAGTTCATAAGAAAGTGCGCATAGTGAAGCTACATTTACGTTCACGAATTAATTAAAAATATTTTTTAAGGCAGGAGGTGTAACAATGGCCGAATGTTACCGGCCAGTAAAAATAATGGATGTAAGAGTGTAAACAATGGAGTCACTCTAGTCCCACTTTTCCGATATTGTGCGTGGCGATTTCGGAAGGGGTTCCGTCCCTGCTTTCCGCCGCACACAATCTGTCCGTCCGCGAGCACGCCGGATGTCTGTTCGGTCCCCGGCTCTGCGGTTGGCGTGCGCCGCATGGAGGAGGGCATGCTTATGCCCCTGCCGCCCGCCGCGGAAAAACAGGCGAATGGCGGGCGGCGTACTACCGAGCACCCGAGCGGAACGCGTATCGCACGGGGGAACTGGTCGCGCCACGCCGGCCCAGATAATGAGGTCGTAACCTCGAGCCGCGCTTTTCTATATATATACGACCACGTAATGCGGTGAGGCGAGTTCCTTTTTCGCGGCCATTTGGAACTCTGCTGTTTACCTCTCGAACGGTGACGTCATCGGTCGCTTTCAAATGGCTCTCTAGTCCTGCGTTCCGATGAGGTTACTCGCTTCTCTAAGCGTGAATCGACCCTTGGGACTGTAGTATCCCTTTGTTTATGTTTGGGAGCTTTTGTTAGCGTATGAAACGTGGGCCATCACACCTCTTCTCGTTTCCCTTTCCTTCGGGTTGCCTCGGCCTCCTAGCGGTTCAGGAAGAAGCAATTCTTCGACGAGGAACTCTCACTTTCGTCGGGGCGCGGAAAGTCTGGTGCGTCGCCCTTTCCCGTTAAGCGGCATTAAGTTTCCGGACTGCTTCATGCGCGGGCGCCATAATTTCCGTTGCAGTGATTACAATACAATCATTACATTCCAAGTCTATAATACCAACGATAGAGTGCGCATTGCAAGAGGTTCTTTGGGCGAACAGAATAGCTTATGGCACAGGCGGATCCAGTAGCGATACTGTAGATATACTATACAATAATATAATACAGTTAATATAATATACAATATAATTACAAATGTTTATTTAACAAAAATCTTAGATCCCCCCCCCTCCAATGATAGGCCGGATCCGTCCCTGGCATGTGGGTAGTTCGGACCATGATGGAAAGGGACTCTTTACAACATGGTTTGGACAAATTCGATGACTTTATGTCGCTTGTCCGACTTACTAATTGGGACTAGTTAAGAGCTCTTGTGCTTCTGCACAAATCTTGTTTTAACTTTATCGTAGTTTAACAAATATTGACCATCCGAGTTTAGTTTAGATTTAGATTTATTCAGTCAAAAAACAGTAAAAACTGTATGTGACGTAGGGGGAGAAGATTATCTGCGCACGTTTTCTTGAGTTTCAGAATACCTTACCGTCATTTTAAATATAAATAGTTGAAAGATGAGTAAAAGTTTAACATAAAAAATAAAATAAAAATGGATTTTAAAATTTGCAAGATTATAAATATTTAAAAAATAGTAATTTTCGTTTCAGAGTTGTGGAAAACTTAAATGGGGGTCATTGACTCGGAAGCTGAAGTACATTATTTGTTACAAACATATTAATTCTTTAAAAAAAAAAGTATACAGTACAAATGTAAACCAATTCATCATATATTAGTTTTGTTAAAATAAACATTATTTTTCTTTTTGATAATCAGTATAGTCTCTAATTGTATAGAAACAGTTATGCAGCAGAAAAGATTTTACTTTTAACTTAAATTTGTGAACCGACGTCAATTGTTATCTGGCAGTGCGTTGTAAAGTAACGTACATGTATTGCATGTGGATTTCTGATAGGGAGCTGTTGATACTGACACTTGATGAACGTGATTTTTACGACGTGTTGTAATTATAAATATCAGTATTGCATGAAAATATGTTCCACCGTTTAAGTCACTTTTGACAAATATTACAGATTCGTAAATATATAGGCAAGGCAGTGGTAAGATTCCAAGCTCAATGAAGAGAGGCTTGCAAGGGTAACGCGGATGGCATTTTTTCATTATTCGAATAATTTTATTTTACAATCGAAAGGTCTGAGAACTACATGATGAGTTTTCCCAGAATTTTTTACCATATCTCAGGCGGGAATGAACATTTGCAAAACTCACGCAACGACCTGCATGAAGGCTAACAGAATTGGATGGAATTCTGAATGCGTAACATAATGAACTTAATTTAGTGTTTATTTTTGTTAGAGAGATCTAGAAATTTTGTTACCTGAACATCAGCTAATTGCATTTTTTATTTTTTTGTTTTCAATAGAGCATGCGATTGCTGATTTGAAATGCAAAAATGTATTGAAACTGTTTTTCCTCCATTAACTATTAATTTGTTATTACAAAACCAATTTGAAACTTCTAAAATCGTTTTATTTATTGTTTCTTTTTTGCAAAGAACATTCATGTCATTGGCAAACAGAACCGTTCTTCCGTTTTTAATAGACACGGCATATCGTTTACGTATAACAGAAAGAGGATAGGACCTAAGATCGAGCCTCGCAGAACCCCATATTCAATTGGTAAAGAATTGGAAAAATTAATAAATAATGTTATTTCGAGCCAGTGCGGTATTTCTACTCTTTGAGATTGATGTTTAAGGTACGAGGTTATCCAACCTATGGCGATACCAAGAATTCCATAAGAAGGTAATTTTGTTAGCAAGATGTTATGGTCAACAACGTCAAAAGCTTTCGAAAGATCTAAAAATATTCCAATGGGTGCTTCGTTTTCGTCCATTGATGAAGCGACATCTTTAAGAAAGGGAAAATGGCAGTTTCCGTAGATTTTGATTTTCTAAACCCTTGTTGTGAGACCGAAAACACTTCGTTTTTTCTGAGAAAAGTAGTAATGTTATCTCGTCAAGATAGTTATTTGAAACGCACAGAATGCACTCTATTGAATTCGTTCATATTGTAATTTCTTAGCCTTCATTAACACGGAAATGTGTTGAAAGTTTGACATTGTTGTACAAGCGATGTGCGTTTAGGATTGCAGAGGTTTGGAGAGTTGTCTACACTGTCAATTATGAACAGTTGAATATCATTTGGCAGTTGCAGATTGAACTTTTGTTTGGTCTGTATCACGGTGTCTGTATGCTTCATCTCAACTTCATTTGCATTTGAATATAGCATACGCTGTCTGTGAAACTGGTGTCATTAAGCTTTGCGAATTGTTTTAGTGTCAAATAGTGATCATGAGAGGTATTAGGACATTCTTATCCTGATATGTTGATTTCTACTCCCGAAAGCTAGGATAATTACAAAAAAATAGTCGTTCTCATTTTTTACTCTAGGATATGTTAAATTCTTTGTTCAGTAGTTTTAATGTAAAAGAGGATTTGTGGCGTTAATATGACCATTTTTTTCTCTTGTTTCAGTTCATTTGAAGCATCCACCCGAAAATGGCAGATACGAGTCAATCAGAGCAGCCTTCACAGGCCTCTGAACCTCAGACTAATGGCCTTCCGGATGGTGTAGAAGAAGACGAAAAAACGAAGATGCGTCCCGCCGATATCGACGCGGTATGTTCCCAGTACATATCGTATTAAAGATATAATTTGTTGCATTTAATTGTGGTACATGAACATTGGAATCCATGTTGCAGGACATGCGAGAAATGGAACGCAGGAAGAGAGTTGAAATGATAATGAACAGTAGGCTGTTTCGAGAAGAATTGGAAAGGATTATCGAAAGCCAGTTGAAAGACGGAAACGGGCCAGCCGGTTTGCTTCAACAAATATCAGATATGATGGGAATGCAAGGTGGACGTCTGCAGTCTGGAAATGTTTTCAGAAGTATGTGGATATTTGTTTTTTAGATTGTTCATGAAGTTTATAATAAATTTGTATTTAGTAATAGGATATCACTGAAGAATGATTTAGATTATCTCTAAAGAGGAATGGATGTAAGATAATATTAAAGATAATATTTTATAATATTTTACAATGAAAGTTTCATTTTAACCAGACAAAAGCTAAGAGATTTCTCAGCATATGGTCATTAATATTTTGTTGTCACCTCATGTCATGTGATTTATTAACTCTAACATGAGGATAGTATGAAATTCAGATCAGTTGTAAATTTATTAACTCATTTCTGCTCTATTACCATACTTCAATTTATTTGAAACGTCTTTTGACAGATCAGCTGTTATGGTGTCATTGAATCTGGAACTTAAATGTCTCTACTGTAGGTGTCATCTAAGCTCCTGATTGGATGACACCGTAACAGCTGATTTACGTCAACAAACCCTATGTTTCAATCGAAGTATAGTGCAAGTTTCAGAGCATTTTTTATTCCTCTTTTACATTATTTAATTCGTCTTTTGTTTTTCTTTAAAATGAAATCCTCAGAATTTTGAAGCTAGTATTATGGTCAGGAATTACTAAGAAATTACTTTTATGATGATCTAAAGTAATGCAGTCTTTTTTTTTTTATTCAGTGCTAAATAATAGTACTAATTCAAAATCTCTCTTAAATGTAGTTTCCCTGACAAACGAAAATCGTTTTGCAGGTAACTTTGGAAACTAATTAACAAAATGAATTGCTATTCCCCCTATCAATTTTTCAATGCACCATATTTTGTGCAATAATCAGCAACTTTTCAACAGAATATTTGGGTTAGTGAAGAGATTAAATGTTATTCTCAGATTAAAACATTAGGGTTGATTGTCTTTTGACAATGGGGATGCCTTTATTCAATTAAATCTGTTATTACTGAAGGAGGATCTTTAGTAATTACTTCTGTATTCTTCATAAAAAAATGTTAAAATTATATATTTTTATACGAGTCTTCATAGGTCATAACTTACCACCACCACCACCACCACCACCACCACCACCACCACCACCACCACCATCATCATCATCATCATCATCATCATATCTCAACATGAACCCATTTTCTAAGAGACCCGTCGAGATTTCTGACTTGGAATTTGGTCATTGTGCAGTCTCTCCTCGGAAATTCTTACAATACAGTATATAAATAGTCTTCCTTTCCTTTGTCTACTAGAAATGAAATGCAAGTGCAAATGCAAGTACCACTCCAGGGGGAAGTTCCTACGCGTTTTCGTGGAGTCGGCACGATAATAATTGCTAATCGACCATGGGAGCACCGTGCGGTTGTGCGGTTGTTCCGCAATGGCGAGGCGACGCGGAGCGGGCTGCCCCCACCCGCGCGGGCGACGCGCTCAATTGTTTGATTGTGCAGCGGCGCGGCGCGCAGACGCGCTTTCGACGCCGCCTATAAATACCGCGCCTGCTGCCGAAACAGCACGGGCGCCCTACGCAAATATACGCGCGGCTCCTTGTGGAAACTAACCCGCGTGCCTAAATAGGTCGGCGGGAAGGCTGCGCTTTTGAGGCCTCGTTGCGGGTATGCGCCGATTCCTGACCTGGATTTCAGGAATGAGTTCGTGTAAACGATTTTTGTTCAAAAACGACAACATCAATATAAATAAAATTCGAATAAATCCTTCCATTTTTTAAAAATTCTTCTAATTTATCCAGGAATAAATATATGGCAATAAATTTAAAATTTCTAAAAATAACACCGTTTTAAGGACAATAGTTTATCTGGATTTCCTCTTGAACAGATTTTGTTAAATGGAGGTGTATTAAAGTGTTATTAGGGTGTTTTTTTTCATTTTTTTGAAGAAACATCAACAAAAAATGCAATCTATGCTTTCACATATTGTACGTTTAAAATTACTCATATTTTACGTTTTAATACTTACGTACCTAATTAATTTTTCCCCTCGCCTAGTGTGACCTGTCAGGAACTGTCTCAAAAAATAAAATCATAATGAATATCATCTCATAATCGGTATTAATGTGTCTGAAGTTCTTCTGAGTGTACGCTCCATCCCGCATGTGACTATTCCCTCTGCTTGTGCGATACGCCGGTGACGGCCAGGCACTTTGACTTGAACCCTCGTCAGCGCTGGCAACGGGGCGACGAATGGGATGGCGACGGAAACCGTATTTCACGCCTCCGATGCTCGCCGCCCCGCGTCTTCCTCGCGTCGTGCAGTTAGCGCCCTCCCCGCCACCCGCCCGCGCGCCACGCCGCGCGCCCCGCCGCGCGCATCGCCGCCTCCCCTCGCCCGCTCCCGCGACCGGGTTTCGTTCTGGTTCGTAAAGGACGAATGCGTAACGGAACTAGTTTTTCGGATTCGCCCCTGAGCTCACGACTCGCTCCTGCTCGCTCTCGAGGTTCGGTGGCGCGATGGCTTCCAGACGCCCCCGGCGCCGGTGAAGGCAGTGGTGGGGAACGGGTCTCAACTCTCTCGCGAACTGCACCTCAATATTTGTAGTTTTTGAGTCGGAAGGATCTCAAAATTTTGAAAAAACATTCATTGAAAAAGTAGGAGGGCCTATTCACAATGCAGACATCAACATAAGCATGGCGTTAACATAAAAGTTACGACTACGTCCATAAGCGGACTCATTCACTATGCGTTCGCATAAGCATAACACGTCAGACGTTAACTTAAAAGCTTGCAAGCTTCAAGCTTCTGTGCTGATGCTTAAGTAAGACATAAGACGTGAACCAATCACAGTATGGCAACTCAAAATCGAGAATCGAAATAGGAGAGTAGTCGATGGACGAATTAACGCCATATGGGTCGTGGATACAGTCGATACCTCGAAAGCGATTGTCACATCCAACCAATAGTAAACTAGAATGTCTCACAGCCAATAGAAACTCTTAATTTGCTTACTTTTATGTTACACATTATGAAAACTTCAGGCTATCACTTATGCCAATGTTTACGTCTATGCGTTATGCTTATGTTTATCTTTGCATTGTGAATGGGCCGAAATGGTTAGAATACCTACCATAACGTCTGAATGCTGCATATGGCAAACTGTTTACAGCACCAAATAAAATCCGATCCACACATTCGGCATACGCCGAGCAGCGAGCTACTGCTCGCCCTATTCCGAACAGCTGATGTGTTCGGCGAATGTTCGCTCCCTTTGATGTGTCCTAAAGACCGACACGCGGGATTTGCCGAATGCCGCATGTATGGAGTCGCCTAAACGCGAATTGATAACTGAAGTGGGCGGAGGCCTAGAGGTAGGCAATTCGCATTACACGTACGTCGGGCGGGTGCCTCGTCAGGCGTCAAACGCCAAGTTTTATCCACTTGTTTCTTTAGAATCAGTCATTCGAGACACCAGAAACGGAAATGATATCATCTATACCTCCTACCTCACATCGGCAAGTTGTTTACGTAGATATATGAAGCGAGTCGTAGAAATCTCGTTGATTACGATTATACCAACATCGAAGACGTTTTTGTGCTATCTTCTTATTTCGTAACTTTTTCTTTATCTGTTCCTCACTCGAGTTGTAAATTTCATCAGAATCAATGCAACACAATCTGCCTCGTAAACAAGTGTCTACATAGATAGTATCATCGAGAAATATCTCCTGTTTTTTTATGGAGGCAACATAAAAGTGACTTAACGAAAGTCATTATTAGAATTATTGGTATCTCTCATTACCGATAAAATGACCTCACTAAAAGCTATCTTTTTCAGCATACACAACGAAGAAAATATCATTTTATATTGAAATAGAAACTTACGCTCGGTAGGATTCCATTTTGCATTTTCGATGTTAGATACGAATATACTCCAGAAAAAATAAAGATCATAAATAATTTTTCTACATGTATTACAAATGAACTGACGTAACTCTTACCTAAGTAATGCCTTTATAAAAATGTTATTTCTCATTCATATGTTGAGTACTCTGCATTTATTACCAATATAATTTTACTGCCTACGTAGTCCGCCACACAACCAATAAACATCACATCATGCAAAATGCGTTGTATTGTTGAGTGGAAAACTCGAAATGCGATTCACATCCCTCCGCCCCCATTGCACTGAAGCAGGATGCTTCTCGTCGGCTGCGATAAAGGCTTTCATCCGCTTGCAAAGCCGTCGGCGCACATTAAGTGCTTCCCACCTCTGCCCTTTGTGGGAAACGAATGGCCGGCGAGTCGGAATCTAAATTCGGGAAGGGGCGGGGGAAGCCAAAAGCGAAGCTCCAAGCGGCTAGAGTCGGAAGGAGAGCGGGAAGAAGAAAAAAAAAGAGGGCCGCGTCGCGAATTGCGGCGTGGGAGAGGGCGGGGACGCGGCGACGCCTATTTTTAGGCAGCAGATGGCGACGGAGCGCACGTGTCGAAGGCCCATCTCCGCCCCCACCCTCCCCCGCCGCCCCCTCTGGGCGCACGTGCGCTTCCGCTGCTGCTCTGGCTGGAGGTGCGCACGCGATTCTCCGCGCTCTGACACGCCCAAACGGATTTCTTTTGTCAGCGCACAACCTAATAATAATAATAATAATAATAATAATAATAATAATAATAATAATAATAATAACAATAATAATAATAATAAACGTGTGACTTCTGACTGCGTACAGTATCCTATGACCGATAAATCTCTACTGAACATATATTAGCAACAAATAAACCCAGGAGGAGAATGGAAGACAGGGGTAGAATTTTACCAGACGGATCTCACGCCAGGGTTTCCGCCATCTCCACGAATATAACACGTACTTTACTTACGGGGATAACGACATTCGCTCTATTGGTGTTCGCATTTTCTTCCCAGCCGAAGGCCTCTTTGCTCAGCTTGGGGCGGCGAATGGCGCATTTCGTCGGCATGCGCTCTGCGTGCAAATCAGAAACCGAACCACTTCACCGAATGAGTCCGCCGCGGCTCGCGGTTCCCCGTCGTCGTTAGCGCCCTAATTGGTTCGCTCGCTGATATGAAACAGGGCGCGCGCAACTCGTTATAAGCGTGTGGCTGTGTAATGGTATTCCGTGAATGCGTTTCGGTGCGCAATAGACTGATTTTCTACGTGACACATATGAAACGGTGTGTTACGTTGTTATGTGTTAGATACTCAAACCCTGTTTGGAATCACAGACATCTTGATTAAACAAAATCGCCTAAATAGACTTCGTAATAAAATGAAAATAGTTATTTTTAATACTAATGGTAAAAGTTAAATTTTATTTTGCGAGTAGGAAAGGTTGCAGCACGAGGCCGATAGGTCGAATGTCGCAATTCCACAAACAAAATGAAATCACTTTTACCACATGTGTCATACTCTCTTTTGTTGACAGCCTTACTGACTTTCATTTTATTTTAATTCAAATTATTGAATCACTTAATGGACAATAACTGTCATTAGAAACTGTGTGATGCGTCAAACGAAATTGTTTTGTTTTCTTTGTTGCATTCACGGATCTAAACATTTGAGCATCAACTCACTTTCAGCACTAGTCCTAAATATTGAACTTTTAGCACGCTATGTACCCTATGAAAAAAACGCGATTACTAGTGACTGACAAAAAAAGATGTAACTCACAAACTATTTATTATTACGTTATAACGTGCAATATTGCATGATAATGATGTACATGTTTGATTTTTTTTTATTATAAGGCTCAGCGCATAGTTGTGATATAAATAAGTCAGGGAGTCAAAGCTGACTAGAGCCTCGATATAATAGACCGATGCCCATAGGCTTTTATCATCAACTATAGAAATGCGCCCCTGTAATGGGGTTCTTCGGCAGAAGAGCGTTTTGAGAATCGTGGTCGAGACTTATAAACGAGTGTAAATGAGTTAGGGTGAACTTCAGCAGCGGCTAGGTAGAGGATATGTAAAGCAATTTGTTCGCTCTGTCAGCGAGCGAAATATGTAAAGATATGTATTTTTATCATTTAGGCTTGTCACTCCTCATGTTATTTTTGTATCAAATCAATATTTATTTTTTGAAATCCGTCGTTGCTCGAGTATTTATCACAAGCGTCTATTCGGCAGAAAAAAATTATGTCTCTAGAGTAAATTTGAAATATAACTTAAATACTTGCCACCCCGCGACTCACAGCTCCATCTCAAGTCAACATGTATCAGAATGGAAAATTTCATGAAAATCGGTTGAAAAGTGTTTGCTGGACAGACAGACAATTTTTATTGAGAGAAATTTAAAAAAATGTTTAGTGTTAAGTCATCTTACGGGATATCCCACAGAAGCAGCGTTGTTTGAATCCTAGATGAGTGCAAAGCGGTCAGCTTGACACACTCAACGAACATCGCAAAAGCGTACAAGTGGGAGTCCTAGAAAGGGAAAACTAGCGACACATTCAATCACAATTTCGTTAATGTTTCTGAGGAAACTCGGTATGGTTCGGTTTGTAGAAAGCTGCCTTCCGTTAGTCTGCGTCCTGCCCACCGGGTTCCAGCCTGGCTGCATGGGCCTCCAAATTAAATATTAAGGGCGCGATGCATATCTGCTCGCCGCGGGGCTCCGAGCGCTGGGATTGAAAGTTAAAAGCTCCTGAGACGCGGGAGATGGTTGATAAATTGGGCAGTGCTCGGTTACTACCTGCATATCGCCCGCATCGGGAACTCGTACATACATTAATACAAATCAGGATGGATTACACGCGGGCCAGCGAGGAAGACGTTCTTGAAATGAGACGTGTGTGAGCGAGGGAGGCGGGCGAAGGGACGAGAAAGGACGAAGGGCATGGGCCGGCTCAGATGGCTCGGTGCCACAGCTGTCTCTGCAACGTTTCTGACCAGGAGGTCCTAGGGTTCGAGCCCCGTTAGTGACAGTTTGTTGACTGTAGCTTATTTATCACAAGCTTCGATATTCAGCTGAATCGAATTAATCCGCTGTTTGAAGGAGAATTCAAGCGGACAGCTGTTCTGACCATTAGTTTTCACGTGAGATTTTTCCGGTAAATACCAGGCGAATGGCGAAGCAGATCTGGTTCGGACCGGTCGCGATCTTTCACTCCTCATCCTTGTCTCTTCCTCTACCCTTTCATACCAACGCATTGCCACACATGTAGACTTACATGCACTGCACCACCATACAGGTCAGGAGCTTAGAGCTTGTCCCAATTGGGGTGGCACCATATCTCGCGTTCCACCGCCGCCACCTCCAGGAATATAACATGCACTATTGTTGCGATATTACCCACGCACGTTTTCTTGAGCCCTCATTTTTCTAGATGCGAGGGGAGTGGGGGAGTTGATTATTTTATAAACAGGACCATTACATGAAATCTGTAGCTCGTTTTTCGACGCAAACTATTTTCTATTAGGCAGTAACAAGTACTTCTGGTTATCAGAGTTTGTCAACAAAGCTTGCTGCTATCATTTATTCTGAATTCAACTAATATTAGTAAAGGACTGGGGGTAGGTATGCCAGGACTCAAGAAATGTTATAGTTCTTAGAAATACTAAGAACTATAGCATTTGACGCTCCCAGAAACAAATTAATCAATGAACCGGTCATCAACCGGCTGGAGCCGTGACGATGTTCGGCTTTTTACAGACCGAAAACACTCGTGAAAAGGTAATCACATGCGGCATGTGGTGTAAATTATGTCACATATTTTAACGACCACTATCCTTTTGGTTTCAAAATGTCTCCTAAAAATTAAAAAAAAAAAAAAAAAAAAGGTTTGGAAGTTGAACAAAATTGTGTTCATCTGTGCTTAAGTATACGTTTACAACTTCTCTTCGAAATAGTTTTAAATTTTGAGTTGTCGTACCTTTTAATAGGAAATTTTAATTATTTTCTTTTATTCCGATCCGACTAACATTTTTTCGGACATTTTTCGACAAAATCTGTAGTTTTTGAATTCTGTCATTTTATACACAAATGCATAGCGTAAAATACATTTTTAAGTAAAAACCTTGTTTCTTCCAGAGGGAAGTTGCTTTTTCTTGAATGACGCCCGCTCCGGCTACCTTGGGAGTTTTGAGTGTTACGAGACAACTCGGTGTCTCGGTCTGGCTGCGGCCGGAGGGGACTATTTTAGGCACGCTCTATAAATTTGGCTTTGGCCCGCCTCATCGTGCCGCGCACCGCCCTTGACTACCACGCCTGCCTGACCTGGAGAACCACAAATTATGTGGTCTTCTCTGGGTCTCTTTATTTAAAGGTTTCTTAGATAGTCGATGAGTTTATAGAATTATTGCCATGCATTTTTATAGTTGTACGTACTCGATTTCATTAATTTCGGAATTTGTGTCTATGAAATTATTTCTTTCTGGTCGTTCACAATGTTTTCGAAATTCAGGAGTACTAGCGATTTCAAACTTGAAGTTTCGAACAGGTCTTCACGACGCCATGATTTGGATGTTTACTTCAAATTTGATATCATCGCTTCAACAATTTTCTGGACTCTCCCTTTAAAGTGTGGATGAATTATTGAATCAAATATATGTTCGCACTTTGCGTTTGCATTCCGTATCATATGCATACCATCGGTATGCAAATCAAACTCACCAAGTTTTTTGTTGTTAACGTTTTTGAGTCATTTATATCGCCAAGTCATATTTTTTTATTCTTACGATGAGCGAATTCATAAGTGTGAAACAAAATATTTTGCAGTCGAACGTCGGTCTTCTCCAAATTCCTTCAGTGATTGTGGCGACTTTGAAGAACATGACTTTCCGTTGACCCTGCCCGTATTGAAGCCCGCCCACGAAGTTCTTACAATTAAATTAAAAAATGGATATTTTTCTGAAGTATTTTTTATTTTTCCGATTAGTGAATTCATAAATGTAGAACAAAGTCTGCAGTCGAAGATCGGCCTTCTCCAAATTCTCCCTCAGTGATTGTGGAGACTGTGAAAGACGACTTTGCGTTGTCACAGCTTGTCTTGAGCTAACAACTAACAACGCAAACTAGCAACTCGTGACAACGAAACAATAAACTGATTTTTTTTTCTCAACCTCAATCTCTTGCTATGAATCTATATAAAATCGCGAGCCTATGAAATCAAAATCCTTGTTTTAACTGTGGAGAATTTATATGAATTGTGACACATGGAGAATGCTTATCGACCGTGTGTGCGTGTATATATATATATATATATATATATATATATATATATATATATATTTGAAGTCAGATATATGGGGCTTGGTCGGTGCAAATAAAATTAACTGTAATATTACTATATATATTATATATGTAACTGTATGATGTATCCATGTAGAGTGAAAGTGTTGAAGAGGGATGTCTTTGGTTTGCAGACATCGCGATGGACTGGTCGGACCATGCGCTGTGGTGGCCGGCGCGCAACACGTGGCTGACGCGGACGCGCTCCACGCTGGACCAGTGCGGGGTGCAGGCGGACGCGCAGCTCTACTTCACGCCCATGCACAAGACGCTGCGCGTGCAGCTGCCCGACCTGCGCTACCTCGACTGCCGCGTCGACTTCTCCATCAAGACCTTCAACGCGGTCGTCAACCTCTGCAAGGAACTTGGTGAGTCCGTCGAGTTTCGCTTCCTCGACCGGTGGCAAATTCGGAGTCTGAGAATTTGCGTCAACCTCTGGAAGGATTCTAGGCGACGCCTTCGCGCTTCATGTTCTTCCTCGATCAGTGTCAGGCTCGAGTTGAGGGTTTTCGTCAACCTCTGCAAGGAATTCGACGAGTCTGTCGAGCTTCGCTTCCTCGTCCGGTGGCAAATTCGGAGTCTGAGAATTTGTGTCAACCTCTGGAAGGATTCTAGGCGACTCCTTCGCGGTTCATGTTCTTCCTCGTTCAGTGTCAGGCTCGAGTTGAGGATTTTCGTCAACCTATGCAAGGAACTCGGTGAGTCCGTCAAGTTTCACTTCCTTCTCCGTTCATGGACAAGTTCAGAGTTTTAGAATTTGCGACAACTTTTGTAAGTATCTAGGCGACTCCTCGCTTTATATCCTCCCTCGTTCAGGGTCAAGTTCCGAGTTGAGAGTTTTCGTCAACTTCTGCGAGGAACTGAGTGGGACCGTCATGCATCACTTCCTTCTTCCTTCAGTGTCAAGACCTGAGTTCAAAGATTTTGACGCGCCAACTAGTGAGTGTCATTTTCGCAGTTAGTTTGAACATGATACGAAAATTATGGAGTGGCATTTGCCCGTCTTTTGACAGGGCAACCAATATGCATTCCATTGCCGCATGACTCGGCGTGGCCTCTGAAAGAAAGTTTGGATCCCCGTTGCGAAAGGAAAATGAAACTGTTTCTTATCCCTTAATCGTAGGAATTGACGCCTTTCAATAAGAAAACTATTGGCATCGTGTAAGCTAATACTATGATTAAGAAACATTTCTTGTCTGACAACACTGACTAATACTTCCAGAGCTTAGTTGACCTTCGCTACGAATGTCCACGTTGGTGACGAAGGTATTGCATTTGGCTTTCGCGATTAACATTAATTAACTTTGAGTCTGTGCGTTTTATGACATGACAAGCCTACTCTGTTCACCGATGTCGCGACGCACGAATTGCATAGGTTCGCGCGGGGTGGAACTTTATGCATAAGAATTGAATAGGTGCATTTTGTTCACTAAATCAAATGTAGCACTAAATAAATGTTAAATACAATAACACAACTTAAGAGCTTGATTTGATTTATTTAGGCAAACTGTATGTGATGCCTTCTGTGCACGTTTGAATAATATTGCTCAACTGTGCTTTGTAAGCTCATTGTAATGTGCTTTGTGTAATGTGCTTTGTTAGTTCATTGAAGAAGTTGCCCTTCAGGGGTTACGAGCAGTGGTGCAACAAGGATTTTTCAAGGGAGGAAAGGGCTGTAGATGTAGTTCCAATTGACTCAATGTTTCCTTAAAAACAATTTTTCAATTATCTTCAATTTGAAATGTACTTTTAAGTGGGAATTCATGGTTATTTATGATGTGTTCAATTAAGTTTTGATTGATATTCCTTACTACAGAAAATAAGAGGGAAAAGTCAACTATATTTTTGAATACGGTGAATGATTAGTTTTGGGTAGGGAAGAACCTCTCTTGGGTGGGCCACTGATTATATAACATGCATCTTTTGAATGACTTAAGTTAGATCTTGCTCAAGTTAGTTCTATCAAAAATTCACTGCATGTTACTAAAAGTATATTGTGAACAAAGCAACCGTTAATTTGTGTGTTGTTTTTGACAGGGATGAGGCATCCTGAAGAGCTCTCTTTCTGCAAGCCCCTTGAAGCTAATCATTTGAAGTATAATCTAAAGGATATGCCATGCAACAAAAAGCGAAATTCGGACAATCGCTCAAAGAACAGCATTCCTGCAGATACAAACACTTTCATTGCCAGTCACAGTCCATCTGGATCTACTGGAAGCTTAGACAAAACTAATCCTCCGTTAATGTGCGCACCTGTCACTCCCAACAGGCATCAGACATCCACACCTATAAGTTCTCCAGTCTCAGTAAGTAATGCAAGTTTTCCTAAAAATAAGGTAAATTTTTAAACAAATGGTGCTAAATCATGATACATAATTGTGATATCTATGTCAAATACTAATACTTAATTATATTGCAAATTATCTACTTTTAGTAGTTCCGCTATCATGTGCAAATTTCTCATCAAACTGCGTGAAACAATACACTAGTCTATTATGTAGTTCCTTCTATATTCTATTTTATAAGTAAAATTGATTTTTTTGCTTAATATATTGTCAGTAATATGTTTAGCAGCACTGAATCCATTTATTTCAGTGACATTAAATTGCATTTGTTGCAGTGACAACACTATTTGAAAGTTTTGTAGCTTTAAAAACTTTAATCCTCTCAAAATTAACTAACTTTACAGATCATATCAAAGAATAGTGTTAAAGAAAATGTTTAATGTTATAGATCTTAACACTGTCTCAGTTGTTATTTTTTCCTTTCATGTGATAGTATTTGTATTTAAGATATTACGTTATATCAAAAAACTGTACATTTGTCACATTTTCTGAAATTTTCATTCACATACGAATGTAGTTGAAATGAGCGTGAGAATATTATGAAAGAGCAAATCCTGGATATGGACATTTTGGGGGGTGAAACTTTTGGAAAAATTTTTGAGAAAATGCCATTTGAGTTTATGCTGCTTTTTATTGGTGAGGGGACTCTTTTTCATTATCACCCAAAACAATTCTGTCAAAATATTGAGATCAATATTTTGCAGTATTGCTATACTTTCTTTACACCATGTATACAGGAAAGTAGTAGTTCATAATAACATTAAAATTTGACATATGACAAATCATGATCATCAACAGCAACAACGACAACAATAACAACACCTTTTGTTTAGAAACAGTGCCTTTGACCATCTAGTAGATAGAAAAGAAGTATTCCTTTATGCAGTGAAATGGGCCAGCTGGTGCTATTTTCTTGTCATTTGCCTCTGTTCCTTTTACCTCTTTTCTTGCCATTTGCCTCTGTTCCTTTTACCTCTTGCTCTTTAGTGTAATGCCATCCATGTTTATTGGTTATTTTTAAATGCCTTCTCCATTTCCTCTACTATTTTTTCATTTCTTCTGCCAAGTTTTTCAGTTTTCAAGCCTTTTGTAATTTTATCATTTTAATTTTGTACATTGTTTTTACTCCTTAAGTTAGTCATAAAAATTTCATATGATCTACTTTCACACTTTGGGTTCCTTTGTGTCCTTTATCCTCACTTCTGAACCATATTTTAACATTGCTTTTGAAGTATAAATTCTTATAATTGTTTTCCTCGTGTGTCCAAAATGTATCTTTATGACTCCATTATTGTTGTTATTATTATTATTGATATTATTATTATTAATCTTATTATTATTATTATTTTTGTTATTATTTTTGT